CAAAAAAATTTTTTTGCACTCTGCAGACCTCACAAAAATGACCCATTTTTTGTGAAAACGCCCCCATTCCCACCAAAAAAGCAGGGCATGAACAGCCTTTAGGAAGTTTGTAGAGTGCTCCTGGGGGCTGGGGGCAAAACTGAGCAAACATTGGCCCGTTTTTCACTCATTTCTGCCCTTCCCAGCCCCCAAGAGCATTCTGAAAGCTTCCTATAGGCCATTTTGGTGAAGGGGGGGTGGGATTCTAGGAGGCAAAAAATGCTATATTCAGTGTATAAGACGAACCTAGATTTTCAGCCTCTTTTTTGAGGGAAAAAGGTGCGCCTTATATTCAGAAAAATACGGTATTTTACAACAACCCTACTTCTTCCGTCTCCTTTCCTCCCAACCTCCCTTCTCTACCTTCTTCTTTCCTCCTCTCCTTTCTCTTTTCTTCTTCCCCTCCCTCTCCCCACTCCTCCTCTCTTCTTCTCCTTCCTACCCTCTCTCCTTCTCTTACTATCCCTTCCTTACTTCCTCTCCTTTTCCCTTTCTTCTTTCTCCCTCCTTCTGTTATTCTATTTATTTTTCTTCTTCACTCTGATGGATTTTTGGGGTGGGATTCAAGTAAATCCGGTTCTATATTTACATAAAAATAGATTCCCTCTTCCACATTTTATTTTCATTGCAAGTGTTTCACATGTCATCTTTTGACTGTATATTTGTATATTAATACTTTTCTATTTTTCCCTTCCCCTCCTCTTTGTTTAATAGTGTGTTATCTGGGTTATTTAATCTGTAATCTTTTATTCATATTCCTTTTCTAACCAATCATAAAATCGCCCCATGCCCTGAAGTACATTCCTCTTTATCCTTATTCTCAGTTAACCTGTTCATTTCTGCACTCCAGTATTTTCTTTATTATCTTTATTAACAGGCAAAATCCCATCAGAAGGAGAAATATGAATTATCACTTTATGTAGTGTATCCAAAGAATTATTTGAGGCAGAAGTGGTGGCAGAAAATATATTAATATAATGGTTCCCAACTCAGTGGCTTTCAGTTGTACAGAATGATATTCTAAGAATTACAGTGTTAGGACATCTGGAGCCACCAGGCTGGGAAAGGCAGGGATTAGTGCATTAAAATTTCCATACAATCATTTTTGTGACAAGAGTATTACAGCAAGGCAATATATTAACTAAACATAGTGGGAAGTGTGATGGAGACAAACAGAAGTGAGAGACCCTGCAGATATCTCTATAAGTTCTAAAAGAATAGAGGGAGAGTCAATATGGACAGTGATTAAAATAACTGGACTAGGCTTAGAAGAAAGTCACAGGCTCAAGTCTATTCCCAATTTCTTGTTGTGGGATGGGAGAGATTGAGGAAAAGAATGTGGTATACTCCACTTTGAGCTCTTGGAAGAATGTTGGGATATAAATCTCTCTATATATAAATAACTCTGTGTGTGTATGTTCCAGCATAACCTCAAGCAATTTCAATCAAATTTGGTACATAGATGAGTTACTCTCTGGGAAAAATACTGTGGGGGTAAGTCACCTCCCTAACACCACTCAGGGCGCGTGTTTTGTTAAGATGCAGCCTGTTATGCCTTTAAATGGCTTCTACTGTACTGCTGTAAATGGCTTCTACTGTACAGTGCAGTGGAGTTGCCATAGTAATGGCTTCACAGAACTCCATAAGGGGGGCTTCCTCTGGTAAGGGGGGAAATCCAACATTAGAAATTATGTTTGGTCTGGACATTTTCCCCCTTTCAACAACTATCCGGGCAACTCTGGGTTGTTAGCTAGTCTAACATATAAATCAATCGCAGATGACTATAATTTCCTTGAGTAAAAGTGGAATACAAATATAATAAAACATTGATTAGGCAAAAAGAAGTAGGTAACAGGACCCAATGAAATGGAATTTAAAAAAATACAATGACTGAGAGACAAACCAAAATGACTAGAAATGTATTATTTAGGCAGCTGAATGATGACAAAATCAAAATGGCTCACAAAGTAATGGACAAAGGAGAAGGAAGGTAAAATCTGACAAGTCATTAACAGGAGACTTATGACATTTTTATCTCATTTTTATGTCTAATTAAATTTAAAAAGAAATAAAAATGGAACTTGATGGGGAAAAGGGTGAAAGGTAGCAATTAAAGATAATCTGCCCACATATTTAATTTTGTTAAGGTTAATATGTACTATATACTGTAAGACATAGCACTGAATTATGTACTGTACTTCTGCTCACAACTCCAGGTGATGAGCACTGTTTGGTGTTTGTTCCATCACTATCATATATATTGCATGCAAATGTCACAGAAAAATTAACTTACTTGACCCGCTCTGGGTAAAAGAGAGCCATATTCCACACTGTGGCACCACCCCAATCATGACCAATGAATGTCGCCTGAGCAATGCTCTAGAAAGAAAGAAAAAAGGATAAATTTAGTGTTATCAGCAGTGGGATCACTTACCTTCCCTATCGGTTCACAAATGTTAGTGCGAGCGCCTTCTGCGCATGCGTGGTGCTTGCATATTATGTTGGGGTGGGTGGACGGAGCCTCCCACAGCCACCGCTATGGGTTCACCTGAACCAGAGAAAACCAGCTGAATATCACCTCTGGTGTTCATGTCTTCCCATAAGCATAGTTCTTTCTTTCTTTCTTTCTTTCTTTCTTTCTTTCTTTCTTTCTTTCTTTCTTTCTTTCTTTCTTTCTTTCTTTCCTTCCTTCCTTCCTTCCTTCTTCCTTCCTTCCTTTCCCTCTTCTTTTTTCTTGTCATATGTATATAATGTATATTGCCGGCAGCTGCAGCCCATTTATTTATTTATTGGGAAGATGCCCAGCACCCCCTCCCTCCAAATGATAAAGTTATCATATTATGATATGATATGATATTCAAATTCCTTAATAAATAAACATTTTCAAATTTTCATTTTCATATTTTTAAACAAGATTTCTTGATTGGCCAAGTACAAGATGACAGCCTATTTGTGAGAGGGCCTGCAATAGGATCTCAACATTTCACATATGGACACAGGCCACCAAAGTTTGAGAACTCAGACAATTTACTGTGCCCAGGACTGCAAATTGCAAATACCAGCAGTTTCTGGTTTGTTAAATTGTGATTAATACCTTATAACTTAAAATTTTCAAGATCCTGTTTTAGTTTGTACGAGGGTGAGTTTCTTCGCTTGCCTCATTCCTTTTTACCAATGTTTTATTATGATCTTTCCTCCCCAGAAGCTGGAACTTTTGACAATATCATAGCAATTTAACCAATGGTTTCAGCCAGACAAAAAGTATGACATCCCTTACATAAATGGGGAATTAACATTACTTTGGTGCTATATTTCAATGGAAAAGGGAGGACAAAGCACACAGTTCCAGCTATTAAGCTACTATTTCACTTCAAGGAAAAAAATGCATTTTTAGATTGAGGTTACTAAATAGGATCGCCTTCACACATTCGTTCAGTCACTTAACTTAATGGAAGCAGCCTGTCAAATTACTTTGAAAAAGAAGAAATGAGAGGGGGGGGAAATCTAATTCTGAGCATCAACCCCTCACTTTACTTGAAAGACAATTTTTTGCTTTTAAGCACCATCTGTTTGTACAAGATACGGCTCATGCTCAGCTATTCTTCCTCCAATCTCTTTCCTTGCTTATTGCAAAAGGAGATGCGTCAAAGTTCCAAAAGTTCATTACTTGCTCAATAAAGAGTTTTCTTTAAGAAACTAGGATGAGCCGAAAGTAGTGGTGGGATCCATTTTTTTTTACTACTGATTCTGTGGGTGTGGCTTGGTGGGCATGGCTTGGTGGATGTGGCAGGGGAAGGATACTGCAAAATCCCCATTTCCTCCAGATCAGCTGGGACTCGGGAGGCAGAGAATATATGGAGACGGGGCCAGCCAGAGGTTACCGGTTCTCTGAACTACTCAAAATTTGCATTCCTGGCTGAATACCACCTGGCCAAAAGGTTAAACTCAGCAGCTGCCCAGGATAGAGAGGAGTAACCACCCTGTGGAGGAAGCTCATTTCAACCATATCCTAGAAACAACAGACTAATAGATTCCTGGCAAATCCATAGTTTTCTGAATCCAAATCATCTCCAACCCTCTCTGTCCTTATGTATTCTTCCTGCCCATTTGGAAATCGAGGAATACAGCATGTCTGTATACTGTAGAACAGGGGTGCCAAACTCAAGGCCTGGGGCCCGGATCTAAACACCCCATGAGTTGTTTAGATCTGGCCTGTGGGGCCATCCTAGAAACAGTGAAAGACTGGCCTGCAGTGCCTCTGCCAGCGAAAATAAGCTCCCGAGCTCCATTTTTGGCTGCGACGGTCTCCTGCAACCCAGGGTTGCAGGAGGCTGTCGCAGCTGAAAACGGAGCTCAGGAGTCCGTTTTTCCTGGCAGAGTGCTTAGGCCACCAGGAGTGACATTGAGCTGGCCACGCCCACCCCGGCCTCCTGAGGTCAAACACAACCCTGATGCGACCCTCAATGAAATCGAGTTTGACACCTGCTGTAGAAGACATGACATGTCAAAATAATTGTCCAACTTCTAGCCCTGACTCTCAGGGACCTAGGATGTAGGGAGGTCATTCAAATCAAGGTACTGCCAGATCCTAACAGCTTGAGATACCAACAACTGAATTTGGGGATTCTATATGCAAAACATGTGATAGGCCACTGTATCACCCACTCTAGTTGAGAGCAGTGAGAAACTTTTAACCTCTCCCAGTGAAGGAAGCTATACAAAATAAATAAATAGATAGATAGATAGATAGATAGATAGATAGATAGATAGATAGATAGATAGAT